CACGTTCCCTCCTCTAAAGGATTTCAATTCAATCATGTTATGGATGAAATTTACTTTCCCTCCCTTAATGGAATTTACTTTCCCTCTCTTGATGAAATTGGATTTCAATTCCCCTTTAAAATTTTGAACCAAACATGGGAAAATGGTATAATTGAATTCCAATTCCCCTTAATTCCAAAGGATTTCAGCGAACCAAACGTCACCTTAGATGTGATGTCATAACTGCATGAATTTGTTGAATTAAATCCAAAATTCTCGTTTAGTAGTTTACTGATAAATTTAATGATGTAAAAGCAAAACAAGAACATTGGACGTCAGAAAATGGAGAAACGTTTAATTTGTTGATTTGTAATCTGCGTGCGTTTGTTTTTGGTATAAGAAGGTAATGAGAAAACAAAAACTGACTGATAAAGCAGGAATGGAGGCGAACCAGTCACAGCATGCGAGGATCGCGGCTCAAAAATTCAGTTTCCGAGAGCTAGCCGCGGCAACCAAGAATTTCCGTCAAGAACGTTTGTTGGGTGAAGGTAGTTTCGGAAGAGTTTACAAGGGAACTCTTCAGCCTAATGGCCAGGTACTTGATCGATCTTTCTTGTGACTATAATTAAGAAAATTAGGTAGTTAATTTACGTTTGGATTTGAATATTGGATTTGTTAGACGAGACTTGCATTGATCGGATCTAAATTTGAAGATCGAATAATTGAATCTGATTGAGAATAAAGAGATAGAAATGTTGACTGGTTGGTTTTTGTGATCTGAAAATCGGCGATACATATAGGTGGTTGCCGTGAAAAAACTTGACAGGAATCATATGAAAGGATGCAAGGAGTTCCTCGGAGAGGTAGCTCGATTGAGTCTCTTACAGCATGCAAATCTGGTTAATCTCATTGGATACTGTGCTGATGGAGATCAGAGGCTTTTGGTTTATGAATTCCTGCCTGGGGGTTCCCTTGAAGATAATCTACTTAGTACTATCATTTTCTTCTTCTTTGCTCCATTCTCGCTGAATTTTTAAGAAATGATCAACCATAGTAATATATTTGTTGTTTGTTGTGGTAATTGCAGAATCCGATGACGATGATAAGCCAGAAATAGAGTGGTTAACCCGAATGAAAATAGCATATGGGGCAGCTCAAGTTCTAGAGTATTTGCATGACAAGGTCAATCCTCCTGTGATATATTGTGATCTAAAGTCCTCCAATGTGTTGTTGGATGAAGAATTCAACCCCAAACTGTCTGATATTGGACTGGACAAGCTCGGGCATTCGGCCGAAATGCAGTCGAGGGTGATGGGAACATATGGGTACAGTGCTCCGGAGTATACACGATCGAGTCAACTCACAACTGTTGCCGATGTATATAGTTTCGGGGTTGTGCTGTTGGAACTTATCACCGGACGAAGAGCCATCGACACTACCAAACCGGTGAACGAGCAAAACTTGGTCACTTGGGTAAGTAAATGTGTTTCTACCTGTAGTTGTTAAGGGTATGGTGCATATAACGTTAAGGTATTGTGCTCTTTTGGATGTTGTTGCACTTACAGTTGTGTTATGAGCATGATGCTCTATAGACATTTATGATTAGTTGTATATGGAATTGGAACAGGCTCAACCCTTATTCAGGGAACCGAAAAACTTCCCGGACATGGCGGATCCTTTACTCAACAAGCAATTCCCGGAAAGGGGTTTGAATCAAGCAGTAGCAATAGCAGCCATGTGCTTACAAGAGGAAGCCACCGCCCGTCCTTTGATGAGCGATGTGGTGACGGCATTGAGCTTTCTTTCAGCTGCCACCGAAGAGAATAACATCCTTCCCTCTCTCCCTCCTTCCATCTCATCTAGATTGCATAGCATCTCAACCAGGCTGAGCATCGAGTGCGGCGGCGATGGAACTGAGGACAGGCTAGGTGATTTCCATTCCGAGACCGGATCCGACAACTACCGAAGTGATGAAGGAAGTGATTCTTCCCCTCTCCAAAGCACAACCTCATGAGAAAAAGCACCTCTGACCAATCATCAATCATTAATATTATTAGCAGAATATGACAGTGATGATGAAATGATTCTTCCAAACAAGAGCTTAAAGCAGAGCTATCTGCAGGATGGGGTTCATTGATGATTGTTGTGGACTAATGAATAAATTTAAATGCCAAAATTCCATACTTTCTTTTAAATACCAAATACGGTTTGGTTCATTGATCGGCAACGTTAAGATGTTCCCTTTGCCTTAAACATTCGCAGACATTTCCTTTTCTTTCAACAAAAAAAAAATCTGAGTATCGTTTTTATTTCTTTTCTGCTTTTAGTTCCATTTCATGCGGTATCAAACCGTGTGTCGGTCTTAAATTGCTGTCACGGTTACGGTTTAATTTATGTGTATGGTTTTTGTTTTTATTTTTTTTCCTGCTTTTAGTTTCATTTCAACAAATTTTAATTTTAATGTTTAATTTTTTTATTAAAATAACTTCTATTAAACAAAAAAATTGATAAACTAATAATTAATGTATCTTTTTGACTTGTTGGGTAAATGAAAAAACCTTTTCGTGCATTTGCCTTGCTGATTCTTTTATTTACCCAAACAACATAGGAACTAAGCATGGAGTGCTGGTTCCAGGCCTTATCAATGTCGGTCATTTTAACAATGATTGATTATATTAAAGATTGGATATCGTCGACATCTTTTAGAATTCCTAGAAGATTGTTAATTATTATTAAATTAAAATTTAATTCTTAATTATTATTAAATTAAAACTCAATTCTTAATTATTGTTTAATATGATAATGTACTATTATATTATAATTAAAAAATGATTAAAAATGGGGCGGGAGAAAATCGGAGTAGATTAAAATTCATTTGCAAAAAGGGTAAATCGTGCTTTAAGTCCCTCTTATATTTAAAACATATTAAAAATAATAATAATATATATCAATGTGTATCATTAGTGATGCATATCAATAAATTATATTTATTGTAAACTCATCTACAATAACAATGCTTCATAATATAAAAAAGTTGAATATGAATCTAATCAAGTGGTTTCGGTGGTTAAAGAAAATGTTATTCTTCATAGAGGTTTTGAGTTTGAACATTTAATTTACAGGATGTATTCACGTTGTCAATAGTTATTTTTTTAACATATATTATTTTATAATCACATTAAACTATTGAAAAATATTAAATAAAAATTATAATAATATAAAGCTTTTCATAATAAAAATAAACTTTGAATTATGACTATTTAGAGTAAATATATAAATCCTTCGAATAAAAAATTATGATATAAATCTCAACATGTGCATCAAAATAATAAATTTAGCACTATGTAGGTTAAGTAGCAAGTTGCAAAGGGCTGATATTAAGTTATCAATCAAAATTGATGTAAGTGATAAATAATTTGATATCATTTAAGTATATTTTAAATTTGAGGTTTTATATATAAAAAAAGTTTTTGCTTAAAAACTCACATATTAAAATCATATGTATAATACGAATCAATTCAAATTAATCAAGATAAAATTTTAAAAAATAAAAAAATGACGCATGTCACATCGAGCACATTAATAATAAAAAAATATACACAATAAATCAAAATATTATTGTTTTCTATATTTAGACTTTGCAAGCAACCTGAAATCATTAATAATTTATTTTAATTTAAACAATAAAACTAAATTAAATTCTTCGACATCCGTGCCTCACTCTTAACAATATGATCGTGGGTCAACTTATATATTCGCTGTCTATCATAAATATAACTATTATTTAATGGCTAGTGTTAGTGCAAAAGTGATGGAAACAATTTTTTTTTTCATTAATGATTTTTTAATGACTAGTTTAAGCATTGATTTAGATTATTTTGATGATAACGTTTTTTTTTGGAAAGATTATTTCATATTAAATGATGTATGTTGTAAATTAATATAAAATTTATTTGAGAATTCATTGAATAACATCAATTATAAAAAAGAAATGTTATTCTTTCTAAAAAATTCAGATTCAAGCAGTTATATTTGTAAAATATATATGTTAGCAATGATTAAAAAAAGATTTTGAAAAGATATTATCTTATAATTATACCCCAAACTATTCACAAAAATATAAAATTTATTCTATAAAATTCTCATTGATTTGGAAATAAAAAAATTTAGACTAATCTATCATAAAGTTATTTTTTATTTAAGCAATCTTTTATTCAACCAAACAAGATACAATGAGATTATTCTAGAAGATATACATTGATGATAAAAACTCTTGTTTTCGAAAGAACATTGTTTGATAAAGCCAAGTTTATCTTGTGAAATTTACTTGTTTCACAAGGATTTTTTTGTTCGAAAAAGAATATTTGATCAATTATTTTAATTTCTTATGAGGTAAACTCTACTATAAATGAAGAGACCTAATTAAAGAGACATGCAATGCCAATGTTTAACTTATTCGTACGAACCCGTGACTTTTGTGGTAAATAAATTATTGTTATTCTTTAAGGTCCCGAACTTGAGTACTTGGAATATTAGGGATACAAGTATTTAATGTCAAATGGTTTAGAGTTATATTTGAGCAGATATTATCTTGTACTTATCTCAGATTATAAAAAATAATTTATTTGTTTTTTAAAATTTGATAAAAATATAAAAATATATATATATATAAAACTGAAAAAATAGATCAAGACTTAATATATTTAATTTTAAAATTAAACTCTAAAATTTTGATGGGATTAAAGTTTAATATATTTAATTTCAAAAAAAATGGAAAAAATGGTTTCGTCGCTGTATACAGTGAGCATTATGAATCTTTTGTTAAAGAAAAGAGCATTATGAGTCTTTTATTAAATTCAGAAAGAGCATTATGAATCTTTTATTAAAGAAAAGAGCATTATGAATCCGGTGCGTCCAATTGGAGAGGATTGCAGCCTGCACATGGACATTGACACCGGTCTATAAAAGGTGGCCACCAATGCACATAAACATTTCAACCGCAAACCATTTCTTCAAAGCTAAACCCTGCTATATTCAAACAGAAATCCAGGTGTGAAACAATGGCATCGTCGCCTCTAACCGGCAAGCTCGAGTTTGACGTCGAGATCGACGCTACTCCCGAACAGTTCCACCATATGTGGGCACACAGGCCGCACCATGTGCACCACACCAGCTCCGAGAAAGTGCAAGGATGCGATTTACACGAAGGCGAATTCGGGAAATCCGGCGTCACCATTTGCTGGAAATATGTGCACGGTACATATATTTTAAATATTTTCTATTGATAATTTATTTTCGTCCTTAAAATTTAAGAAGTTGTTCTCTCTAACATAAAATTAATCTACGTCCGTCCCTATATATAGATGGAAAGGCTAAAACAGCGAAGCAGGTGGTGGATTATGACCACGATGGCAAGTCCATAGTATTCACAATGCTAGAAGGTGATCTGATGGATGAATACAAGAGCTTCGTGATCACGATTCAAACTCTGCCCAAGGAGGATGGTAAAGGCTGTATAGCGCACTGGATTTTGGATTACGAAATGCTGCATGAAGGCGTCGGACACCCCGAGAGTCTGCGTCAGTTCTTTATCGAACTCACCGCCGATATGGCTGCTCACCTCGTCAAAGAGGAATAGTTTAAAGCTATGAAAAAGAAATCCCATCTAGAACCGCCTGCTGTTTGTGTTATTGACTGTAAAGTACCCATCTGAGAATAAAAATGGGATCTTTGTACTGTGTTTGATGAGGCTGTACGTAGCTTTCTGTGTTTCTCTGTATGTCTTCTGTTTCTATGTTTCTAAATGAAACTTCTTTTGTGCTGTATATGATTTCTTTGATGTCTTTCAACGTTTTCAGGGTTTCCTTTTTCGGAGTGACATGGAAACCTAAAAGTTTGAATATTTCAAGTTAATCTCTGACCTATGTCCCTCATTCTAAATAGATCACTAAACTTTTGAATGACCCAATAACATCCTATAAAATCATTTAAATGTCGAGGATAAAACTGGAATTTTTAGAAATTTGGGGATTGTTATAGAGAGTCAATTTGAAGATGAATTTGAAATATTCAAAAATCTAAGAATTAATTTAAAATGAAAATTATAGCATGAGGATGAAATTAAAATATTAAAAAATTAAAATCAATTTATAACTAAAATCATAATTTAAAAACGTATAATATAATTAATTTAATAAAATTATAATTTTTGTAAGACTTTAAAACTATACTTTTTATCTTAAAAAGATTATAGTTAAATACAAAATTTTTATTTAATCAAAATATTAAAAAGCTTAAATTAAATTATTAATTTTTAAATGCGTTGAAAGTATAATGTATTAAATAAGTTCCATTATTTAAATACAAGATTTGAGTTCTCCGCTGATAGTAGGTGATGTCAAGTATAAATCTATTATATATATGTCGGATGGTCAACTTACATTAGTGTACGCACTTTATACATTTGTACACGATTCATATATAAAAAGTGACTAATGAATTTAAAAATATGTCTTGTTGATATAAACTATTATTCTACATAAATATACCAATCATACAAATTAAACTTATAAAAGAATTAAAAATCAATAATTTAATCGGTTTTGTCTGAATTTTTCTGAAAGAGAGAGAGAGATATTCAAAATTCAATAATTTAATTGATTTTTCTGATTTTTTTTAAAAAAAATCTACACGTTTGTATTTAAAATCAACAAATTGAAAAACGCAATAACAAAATCAAACATGTTAAATATTAACTCGCAATCTTATACCAAATTTGACATCAATACTTTTTTTGGTATATTAGTATAATTTAAATTAAATTAAAAATTTTAGAAAATTAGTTAAATCCTTAAAAAATAATATATCCGATTGAGCTCTGATCCATTAAAATAAAATGAATTGATTATTAATGAAAATCAATATTAATTAATTTTTCTGTTGCTAATATTAATTAATTTAATTGTCATTAACATGACAAACGAACACTTTATAATGATGTCATGTGGTACTTTTTAAATTGTTTAATTGATTTTAAATTAATTTATTGAAGTGTTAACTGATCTTTAATAAATAAAATATGATTTTATGAATTTGGAGTGAACATAATGTAGTATATATTTGAATATTCTCAACTATTGATAACATATACTTATATCCCATGCATACACGATGATGAATAGCAACAAATCTCTTAACTACTAAGATTAATTAAGTATCTAATTAATAAAAGATATCTAATTTAAATATTAAATGTTTATTTAAATCATTCAAAATATGAAAAAATAAAAAATATAAACAAAACCTACCATATATTTGATATTTCTAACTCCTAACCAAATTTGGATTTTCTTTAATTTGTAATGGCGCAATCGAAAACTACAACGACGACTCAAGTTGTAAAACGATGACGTGTCAAACATAAAACAACGATGATGAAAGTCGTAAAGAGCTAAACTATGAAAAAAAGAAGCTGGTGAGAGAGATGCAGAAACAATACTTTGAGTATTGGATTGGTAATTACGTTGCCATTGATCATCCATTAAGCTTTCGTTAGGTTAATGGGGGAATTATCAATAATGATGGATTAAGGCACTACAACAAATTTTTTTATTAGTGGTATTTAGGTTATTGTCACTAAAACTTCAATTTATGTCACTAGATGTATTTTGTGACGTAAAAGTCAATGTCACGACATCACCCTAAGTGTGTCACTAAATGTCAAAAGTGACGATATATGTGTTATCGTCATGTATTGTTAAATATAAAGTGACGCTAATGGATAACGTCACAGTTTAATTTGCATTCAGTGACAATTACTTTTGTCACCAAATGATGTGTATTTTCGTCATTAATAAATCATATCGCCACCAATAACACAATAATTTCATTGTATACGTGACGAAAAGAAAATTGTCACATTGTTAATAACGTAGTATATCGTCACTTAATATTAGCATGGATGACATTTATATATAACGTCACTATATAATTAATATTCAATGACAACTAATTATGTCACTAAATTATGTAAAATTTCGTTATTAATGATTTATATCGTCACGGATAATACATTAAAATCAACATATATGTGACGAAAGAGATATTGTCACTTTTTTAGTGACATAATATAAATGTTACCTAATAATATTATGAATGACGTTTATGCATAACGTCACTTTATAATTTATATTCTATGATAGTTGTTTACGTCACTAAATTAAATAAGATTTCGTTATTCATAATTTATATTGTCACAAATAATGCATTAAAATCATCTTATATGTGACAAAAGTGATATTGTAGCAAAACACAAATAATTTATAATCTATGACATTTTTAATGATAATATATATTAAAATAAAATTATTTATACAAATCTAAATAAAAATAAAATAGTTCACTTATTGCAAAATAATAAGATTTAAACAAATATTTCACTAAATACATAATAATTTCATTTATATAAATATAAAAATGTTTAAATGTTTACAAAAAATAAAAAATAATATGACTTGTGGAATATTTCGTTGTAGCAATCTCAATTCAAACCTTGAGTCGGTATGAATTGTCGAGAAATGATTCCAATTTCAGAAGATAATTTAACTGATTGAACTGCATCAATAGCTTTTCCCTCTGGTATCTCTACTATCAACTTATTCTTACTTTTCATGAGATTTTCTAGTCCCTTACCTTGACTTGGTCCTCGTACCTTTTTGTGTGATAAATTGATTGAATTTATAGAATAAAAATATTAATTTTGGAATAATAAAAAAAAATTATTCAACGTTAAAGTCAAAGACTTTGCTACAAAGAAAATAATATGTATATATACATATTCTTAGTTTTTATATTTTTTAACTGTCATTGTTACTACTCAATCCTCATTTGCTATTCATTTATATAAATATTGGAAATAATGTTTACTTGAATTTTCAATTGTTGTATTTGGATCAATTTCTTCATGTGTTTGATTTGGAGCATCAATAACTTGTTGAGGTTCAGATTCTTGGGTTCGATTTAGTTTACTGGAGACTTTTTGAGTTTCATTTTCTTGTGCTCGAATCCTTTTACGAGATACTTTGCCTGGTGTCATCCTAAAACATATAAAAAAACTATTATAAATACTTTCACCAGCTTTTGCAATCGATTGCTCTTAGATATTAGAGGGAATTGCAAAGGCACATTAAACCACAACCAAAATCATCAATTATTATAGCACAGCTTCTCTCCACTGGCAGAGCATTCTACAACTTAATTCATAAACACAACAATTCGGTTACACTGAGAGAGTGATTCATTTGTAATCCAACTACATTGATAATTATGCTAAATTGCAGAATTTTGCAAACTTACACTGAAATGATGCTAATAACAATATTTTCAATTAGTTTAAATGAAAATGAAAATAAATTAACATAAACAAAAAGAAAGATATAAATTCAGGATTCACAAACACATGCACCTAAACGAAGCATAAAAACATAACAGAGTTTGAGCATACATTGTAAAGGTGAAATTTTACATCAGCAACATTTATTTATTAAATGAAGAATTATCAATGTGAAAAGGAAACAAGACATGCACATGTTTTTGAATGAGCTTTCCAATCAGATTGCACAATATCGATAATAAAAGCAGCAGTGTTTAGCAAAATTTAAAAGAAATAATTAACAATTATTTTGTAAAAAGCAGCAGCGTTTAGCAAAAAATCAGAAATCAAATAATAAAACTAACCCTAAACCATATGAATTCAACAATATAAAAAAACCATATTTAACAGCAAAGAAAATAAATTTAAAAGAAAACAAACAATTACCTGCAAATTAAAGTGGGAGAAACCTTTGTACTACTGCAATCTGAATCAAAACAAAAAATAATTATAAAAATAATAAAACTATAATGCAAAATTATCTCAATATAGAATATAGAAAAGAATTTTCTTATTTCACCTACTTGTTTATGATAGTATTCTTTAGGGCTGAGCAACGAAACCGAGAAAACCAAAAACTGACACGAACCAAGTAAAATGGTTTGGTTCGGATTTACCTTTTACAGTTCGGTTTCTGGTTGATTTAGACACTCAATTGTCTTAATTCGGTTCGGTTCGGATTTTCCATATGGAACCCACTTGTTCCATATTGAACCGAATAAACCAGTTTGGGTGATAATCCCTTCTTTGAACTCTAGAGACTCTTCTCGTGCTATGGCTTCATGTAGCTGTATCCAACAAGTGAGACCAGATGAATCAATAACAGAAACGACTAGGAATATCCTATCACTCCAAAGCCTACAAGTTTATTGTTCAACCAAATTTCTGGATAGTAGTATATGTCTCATTTTCTAGAAAGGATACACCTAAATCAAGAATGTATTCCAAAGACCTAACTTATGCCGACTATAAGGAATGGATCCATACATGAAAACCACAGCTAACGGGTATATGCACCAAGCATTGTAATATTCTCATTCAAGATTCAGTACAATCCCTAATATGGACTCATCCTCTCAATTCTAGAGGCATGCTTTTGCTGCTAACATCCACTCAATTCTAGAGGCATGCTTTTGCTGCTGACATCCAACTTCGAAAGTCGAAAGCATTTGCAAGATATCATATGAACCTCGAAGTAGCACAAACACACGATATAATTTTCGCATAGGATATGACTAACATAACAAACCCCATCACGTGCAAATTTCAAAGATTATCAGGATAGTAATGGAGTTTGAAACTTAAAAGAAAAACCAAAAAAGACAAAACTAGCAATTAAACCAAAGTGTTTACTTGACTGGAGATTTGGTTACTATAGTACATATTCTCAGGAAC